CACTACCTCTGAGTAGAGAATGGGGATGGTAGAGGAAGAATGGCATGACTTTATACCCATCAGGAGATTAGAGCTCCAACTATCTAGTAGGGACAGGGGAGACAGAACCCACATGTGTATTCTACCCTACATGAGATCTCTATTGTGGTAATGGCAGAGGTGCTTTGGTTTGGCCCCTGACCTCATAATGTGATTCAAAGATACTACACAAAAGCAAGATCCTGCATCTTGGGGCATGTCCAGGCAACTAACTTCAAGCTGGCCACCAAGACCTGCAAATATTTATTGATCTTTGAGCAAGTTATTTCTGAATCTGTCAGAAGTTGGATAGTGTAGGAACAGTATGGTATTACTCAATAGAGCTTTGCTCCTTACATTCCAAGCACAACACTGTCCCCATGAGCAGAGCACTCATATGCAGAGGGATCTCCATAGCTTTAACAATACATTTTGAAACATGACCTTACGTACGTGGATTATAGCAGGATAGTCTAACACTGATGTTAGAGGACTAAACAGGAATATGAAAGCCATGAACAAACCAGCTATTCCACGAGAAGCACTACCTGCCTGCCTATGATAGAAGAAAACACCTCTCTCTTAAGCCTCGTGGAAATCTCTCTGTGACATGCTCTGTCTGCATGGGCCAAATAAACTGGCTTTCCCGTCCTCTTGGCAGGGAAACTAGATGATACAGAGCCCAATGCCTGAATCTGGTGTGAATAGTCCAGACGACTGGGGTACAACACATTAACATGGATTTTAAAAACTCACCAGTTGCTTCCAGGAAGATCCAGAGCCCTGCATTCTGGTGTTGGGCAGCTGTTCACATGGGCATCTCCCATGTGCTGCTTGTGCTGTTTCATCCTGAGATCAGAATGAGGTGTTCAGCTATGTGAGAGGCTGGGCCTTTCGTTCTGACAACAGCAGGATGCCCATGAGAACAGCTGCCTGGCATTAAAACAGAGGGCTGAGATAACGGGGGAAGGTTGTGGCAGCTTCAATGCTAAGATACTCTGGGCTGCCCATGAAGTAACCTGGCCAGTGCAGACAGGTTCTGACCTTTGTATCTGCAAAGGCAAGCAATATGTCTTACATGCACAAAACTCGCCCTGATAAAGACTTGAGATAAAATAAGAGAAAGTGTGTCACATGGTTACAGAATTCTTTTTAATGGAACACAACCGGGTTTATATATCAGAGCAGACCGGACTACAGTTTCCACCACTTCAGCCAGGTCTTGGTGGCTGGGGATAATTGAAGTTGCAGCTTAACTCACCCAGGGAAGGCTGCCTTAGATATCACTCCCAATAGCTTTTAAAACAGAATATACGGTAATGGTACAATTAAAAAGCAACCACTCAAAGAGCAGCGAAGAAGCGTTTTCTTATCATGGAACAGTTGAAATTTAGGAAATTATTTTCTTATGCATCATGAAATATGGTCATGCATATTGATGTATATAGCATACATTTTAGATTAACATGTGTTCTTTAAGGTAGGACAGGCCAACAGCATTTTAGAAAAAGATGCAATATGTTATGGAAGGTGGTTTTGTGAACAATCAGACCTGCCACTATTGTCGCAGTTAGTAATTAAATTACTCTACCTGACAGCCTGACAGGTCTACAATCAACTCCTGACACCTCTTACACAGTGCATGAATCCAAAAATAGAGTTTCAAAAACAAGTTTTGTTAATAAGGCTGTAAAGTCTTTGACATGACTAGGACAACTGATGAAGTACAGCTGACTTGTTTCCTTAAGCAGCGGTTTCAAAAATAAAGAGGGATGTATAAATATTCGACAAGGACTAATACTGGTTAACTTTTAAAATTTGAGCTAGCAAAGATTTCCCTCTCTGACATTATTTTTTTCCGCACAACTGCATTGTATCTTATTCTTAAAGACACAAATAAACATCCATCTGGATTAAAACTAAATATGGATTATTTGAGCACGCTGCATCATTGCTTATCCATATATACATGTTTCCATTCTTCTCCCAGTGCAAGAGGGCAAATATTATTTAAAGAATGATTTTAACCTTTTTCCACAGGGTTAGCCACAATAGCTTGTTGCAGTAAAAACAAAGGTTCTAGTAGCACCTTAAAGTCTAACAAATGCATCTGATAAAGACCACAAAAGTGTATTCCATATGGCAATTTGTTAAAAGTGCCACAAGACTTTTTGTTATTTTAACCAACAGAATCCTATATTGTTTCATCTTCTTCCTTTTATTCCACATTTGCTACATTCCTATGAAAATGCCAAAGTAAACCAACTGCTCCACAGCTCTGAGCTGGCCAAGTGTGATCCTGAATTCATTCATATTTTAAGCAGAGCTATTGCTAGGGCCAGATATTACAGTAGAGTTGTTATATGCCATAAATCTAACAGACAGGAAAGCTTCAATATGCAAAATATGTTTGAAAAATATTGTTACTAGAGAAAGCTTTTGAGCTTTCCTTCTACTATACTACTACATTTTATCACAGATAGTAAAATTTAAAAACTTTTCTGTGTTGTTATTGGAAAGAGGCAGCAGGATTTCACGCTAAATGCATTCCCATCAAATGCTTTCCCCTCATACTCTGCAGGGCAGGCACAGAGCTGGAGTCTCAGCAGTTAACATATCACAGAAGAGAAGAGTGAATCAGGATAAAGTAGCAATTCATCCACATTTTCGATCTTAGCTGTCTAAACTATGAGCTCTGGAAAAATTATCAGTAGTTCAGAATCATTACAAGGTTCATCCTAAATTTAACAAGCACACCTTAAAATAAGTGGAAAATTATCTTCCGCTATACATTACCTGCTAAGGCTTAGGTTCACTAGGCTTTCTTCCTTGCTGCAGCTTACCAAAAGAAACAGAGGGATCATATTACCTCAGCTGCTCAACCTGGCATATTTAAAAGCAAATGGCTGAGTATTCAATATACCCCTTCAGTCTCAAGCCTGGACAACTTTAGGCCACTGTCCAAAGGGGACTAGTCATACCATATAAAGATGCCAAGATATAAATTGAGCCAAAGAGACAAAACATTGATTTAATTATTCAGATTCTAATAGAACATTTTACAGGCCTAAGTGTGTGTGTCTTTGTGTATTCACATATGTACAAATGTATGAATGCAAGAGACAGAGACAATGGAACTGAAACGTTGAAAAATAAAAACCACAACTAAAAATACATGCCTACTTTCCTTCCCACACACTAATTCACACAACATCCACTGTGACCGCTGCAGATTTCTCTCCAAAACAAAGCTATAATGGGATTTTCTTGACAAGATTTGTTCAGAGGTTTGCCATTGCTATCCTCTGAGGCTGAGAGCATGTGACTTGCCCAATGTCACCCAGTGAGTTTCTATGGCTAAGCAGGGTTTTGAACTCTGGTCTCCAGAGTCACAGTTCAATTCTCAAAGCACTGCACTACTCTGGTTCATCTTCTTCATATTCCCCTGAACAAAATGTTCCTGCAAGCAGCAAACTAAAAATCACTATTTTATAATGTGTAAGGAATGTATGAGAAATGCAGTGGCTTAGTGGTAAGATGCCAGTTCTGATGGTTGGACGATTGGAAGGTTGGCAGTTTGAGGTCCGGGTGCCGCATGATGGGTGAACTCCTGTCACTTGTCCCAGCTTCTGCCAACCTAGCAGTTCGAAAGCATGCAAATGCAAATAGATAAATAGGTCCACTTCAATGGAAAGGTAACATCATTTGGTGCAGTCATGCTGGCCACATGACCACCAGAGTAGTCCTCGGACAATGCTGACTCTTCAGTTTAGCAACGGAAATGAGCACTGCCCCCTACATTTGGTTATGACTAGACATTTATGTCAAGAGACTACCTTTACCTTTACCTTTAAGGAATACACAATACAATTTATTTCTTATATCATTCTTATGGCAGGTGTTTCATGTCATATCCAATAATTTATGAAATTACTGTCTTATGAAATTATTGGAACTCTAAGATTCACTGTAGAAGACAGACATACTGCAGAATTTGGCTGACTATTGATTCTAGCCATTTTGACTGAGTTATACTATAAGAGGTACCTTTTCACTTTTTACACCTAATGGAATTGAGTTGCTGGATTACATCAGAATATATTAAGACTAAAAATAAAGCACATTTACCTGAATGAGTCCTTGACACCAATATGATTTACTTTAAAAATGTTTTTAGATTACTGGGTTCAGTTTTTAGGATACAGCTATAGCAATAGCATTTACATTTCTATATCACTTCATACTGAACTAAGTAGTCTCTAAGTGGTTTATAGATAAGCTATAGCAATCTATCCATTATATACTCCATGAAGGAGTGAAAAGAAGATATAGATTAGAATCTGGTGCATCAATATCATTCATTTTATTCTTAGCTAAACCAGTGAGTGCATGGCATCAAAAGGTTTCTGAAATTTAAATGGATTCCCAACTTCAGGTTCTGTTGTAAGAAAGTCACTATATATTTGCATGTTCCTACAGAAATAGACCAAGGTGTCTAACAACATCACCAGGTCTCAATTTTTTTTTATTTGCTATGTCACCATCCCTAAAATAGTTCAAACATGTAAACAAAAGTAGCACTGTTTCAGGGACTGCGCAGGGCTTCAATCACCTTAATATAACCTTGAGGATACATTAAAAATTAAATGAAACAATTGAAAATATAACAATAACAATGATTATTAAATTGGCAACACAGAATGATTTCTGACTGCTTTACAAGCTAAGCTACCTTCTATCACAAAGATCTGCAGTTCACTGAAATATTGTAAGGAAGAGGAGAAGACAAAGGTCCCTTAGGAGCAAGTTCCAGAGTCCCGACATGACTACTGCAGAGGCCCTCACCCAGATGTTGTTTTTGTTACATGCCTTCAAGTCATTTCCAACTTATGGCAACCCTAACGTGAACCTATCACAGTGTTTTCTTGGCACAGTGTTTGCCATTGCCATCCTCTGAGGCTGAGAGACTATGACTTGCCCAAAGTCAACAAGTGGGATTCAATCCCTTACCTCCAGAGTCATAGTCCAAAACACAAACCACTACACCACACTGACTTTCATAGTCAGATGGCTTTCCAAATAGATTCTGTATCTATGGACTCAAACATCCACAGCTAGAAAATATTAAATAAAAAAAAAAAGAATTTAAAAAAGCAAACCTTAATTTTGCCATTTTATATAAGGGACACCATTTTACTACTCCACTGTATAAAATAGGACTTGAACATCCACAGATGCTGGTATCCGTAGGGGGTCCTACACCCAAATCCCAGTGGATATCAAGAGCCCACTGTAACTGGAATTCATAAGAGAGTCTCTAAAGATTTTGATAATGAGTTAGTGGGTTCATATGGCACAAAGTAGTTCTTCAGGCACTCTGATCCTGACCTAAACTATCATATACAGTGGGACCTCGCCTTCTGCAGGCTTGCTATCTGCAGATTTGAGCTTCCACAAACAGATCCAGAATAGGAAGGTCCAGCTGTATACTCGACTATAAATCAACCTCATGTATAAGTCAAGGGCAGGTTTGAGGCCAAAATTATGGATTTTTATATGACTTGTGGACAAATCAAGAGTAAAATCTAGGGGCATATAAAGAAGAAAGCAAAGGAAAACGATGCCAAGGAACTTGCAAAATTATGGCAGGCATAACTGTTTGGGCTCATGCTAAAGGTTGGATTGATGAGGGAACCATGGTAAATGGTGGCTGTGTGATGTATGGAAAGGGCAATCAGGCACAAATGGGCTAAGAAACACACGTCAAAAAGGATGAAAAGGCAAAGCAAAGGATATGACTACTTTAGCATTAAGCCCTTTAATGTGATGACTTTGCCTGAATTTAACCCAGAAAAGCTGACAATCATACACAAATGTCTTATTCAAATCATTCATAGCCTAATTCCTCTCAGCATTCCTTTGAGGAGAAGCATCAAATAGCCACCACTGCTGCACTTGCCCACCCAGGCATTCAAAAAACTCAAATGTGGCACTGCAGTGAAGATAATATCGGGGTTTTATAGATTCCCCCAGGATGGACTAAGCTCTCACCTTTCATCACTCTACTCAGAAAAGGGGATGGTTCTTTTTCTGATAAGTGTTAAAGTACAGTACTTTCACTTACCCATGGATAAGTCAAGCCAGTTTTTTTGGGGGGCACTTTTTAAAATAAAATTTCTAGACTTATACATGAATATATACAGTAATACATGATGACAACCAGTGTGGTGTAGTGGATTGAATCTGGAGACCAGGGTTCAAATCCGAATTCAGCCATTGTAACACACTGGTGATGCTCTCTCAACCTCAAAAGACAGTAAAGGCAACCCCCTCTGAATAAATTCTATTTAGAAAATCCTGTGACAGGGTCATCATAAGTTAGAAATGACTTGAAGGCACACAACAATAAACTAATAAATGACCTACAGTGTTCTGAAATTTTCATCATAAAGCTTTACTCAAAGAGGGACACATACATCCCAGTGAGATTACTGTTTGAAAAAGCAGACTAGAACTTTAATAGAAGATATGTTCTGCACAGCCACTGCAGTTTATCATATCAGGTGAGAGGTGCTTACTAGCAATGTACATTTTAGTGGTCTTCCCCAAACACAGATGTAGAAATCAGAATCTACCTAATCCTATTCTTTAGGCACCCTGGCACCACAGAAATTTATCTATTGTGATCCCTACTGTTGGGGTACAAGAGAGAAGGCAATACTTCTATACATGTTTGCTATGCCAGTCCAGCTCCTTCACAGAGAAAGCAAAAAAAGAACAGGGATGTGAAAAAAGTGTTTAGATTGATTACTGAATATTGGAACTGACACCTATGCCTACCCCTAAAACCATGGGAAGCCATTGCCAGCTGCAATAGAAAGCACAGGGTTACATGAAACAATGTTCTAGGTGGCTTTATACAATTATATTAATATACCGTCACATTCTGTTCATGTCTGTTCTGTCCATGTCTGATGCCAACAAAATATCATAGATCCTCATGAAAGGCACAACAGTACATTTTCCTCTTAAATTCCCCTACTTTCTTTAATAACCATTTTGAGATACCTTAACACAGTTAGTCCAGAGAAAGTATGTGTATGCTGTTTTACAGCAGATATCTTTTATTACCAACTCATCTTAATGAAAGTTTCTACACGAGCATCAGAAATCTGAGGCTGTCTCCCCAAATCCCGAATACCACAGAATTTGGTCACTCATAGTAGCGATACTGAAACTAAAGAGAAGAACTGCTGGCCATATACCCCATATTGAAATTAGATAAAAGACGAGCTAAGTTAAAACTGTTTTATTTTGCTGATGCTTTAACCTTAAGTCAGACACTTACAAGAAATATCAGAAAGGGAAGTTCACACAGCTCAAATGATTGCTTAATTTATGTACTTCTCTCTACAACTTGAATGTTTTCAGTATTTTGTTCTTACTAAGTTGGTAATACACCAATCAGCCTATTTCCAGTTCATTACAAGAGCTACATCCCAAAATTAAGAAAAATTCAAAGTCTAGACATCCTGGATTTTGAATGGCACAACCCTGTACAAATTTACTGAGATGAAAGTTTCATCAAATTCAGTGGAATTGCTCTCAGCAACTGCAATCTAAATATATCTATGCATCTGAAAATATTCAGTGCACGTACACTGAACCTTAGATTTCTGAATCACTGAATAACAGAATATGGCTAATCCAGAGAAAAACAACATAATTTATTTTCAAAGTTTATTTTAAAACATAACAACATTGCCAGTCCCAACAGCCTCAAGTATGCATGGAACAAACAGCTTCATCTTTAGTGGCTGCTAGCAAATTTTCTTTAGAGGGCTTGGGACAGAACAGAATTCATTTTCTTTTTTTTTTTTTTAACACCTCAATTGTATCAGTCACCTGTTTTCAAAGAAGTTAACACATATAGTATTACTATGCAGGACAACATATGTTGTTACATTCCTTGTCTCCTCTCCCTCTCCCTCATCTCCATTTTCTGTCTGTTACATTATTGTCTGTGTATAAGTTAATTGTATGGTGTAAATGTAGTTATGGTTGTCAACAAGGATGGGGGAGGTAATACTATGGAGATATGGGTAGGTAAGGTTCAATAAACTTCTGCTATATGACAAACCAACAAAAATTGAAATTTAAAAGAATGTAGGAACTAATTAACTGCATCTTCAGTTGCGCTCTACATGCATGCACATTTCAGTCAAGGCTACAATTGTATACACTCATCCTTCCACATTTGTGGCTTTCACTTTTATGGATTTCATTATTCGTGGATTTTATTAATATGTTCTCTCTAGGAATATCTAGGTCCTCCAGTGTAATTCTATGGTCAATGTCTGGCAGATGTTGACCACAGAGTTGCACTGCAGGACCTACAGATTCCTAGAGAGGTGTTCTCTCAGGTAAAAACAAACTGTTTTCGTTATTTACGGGTTTTCCACGTTCATGGGGGTCCTGTGCCCCTAACCCTAGTGAATGTGGAGGAACAAGTGTACTCTCACTCAGCTACAAATAAATCCCACTGAGTTCCGCAGTACCTACTGTTGAGTAGACATGGACAGCAATGCATTGTCCAATGGTAAACTTTTTCCTAGACCAGGGGTAGGCAACCTAAGGCCTGGGGGCCGGATGTGCCCCTCCGAGGCCTTTGGACCGGCCCCAGGCCGGTCCTGCCGCCGCCTGCCAT